TTATTATGATTAATATGGTTGTTATTATGATGATTATTGTTATTATTATTCATGATATTTATTATTATTATGTTGCTTGATATTTATTGTTATTGCTTGATCACGCCTTTTATTGCATGTTTAAAGGGAATTTGTACTTGTAATCACGCTTAATAAGATATTTAATAATCTTGTTTAGGGTTAATTGTGATTATAATTCAAGTGATCGCCAATAATAGATTTATGTGCGCATTAAATTCAACCAACATAGATAAACAGGTTTAGGGTTAATCCTAATGATTGCATGTTAATCAGAAAGCGCACATGAATACGATCAGAATAAAGTAGAGGCCTATTATTAGGGCAGATTCAATCTCTTTTAGGTTGGATTTGTACCTTCATCCCCGAAACCTTATTTGGTTCTAGACCTTATGGAGTTGACGATCTCTTGGATCGTTAAGGGGTGTAACCTTCACCTCGTGAATGGTTTACAAGTTCCTAAAAAACTTGTTGGCGACTCTTTTGCTCTATCTTCTTCCCTTTTGGACGCCACCGTACTTTAGTGTATGATCACATTGGGGTTCAACCTAGGGGTGAAACAAACTCGGTTTAAAACCGAACCAAACCGAATAAAAAATTTGGTTTGGTTTTTTTCGGAAGTGGTTCGGTTTCGGTTTTTTTTAAAAAAAAAATTCGGTGTGTGGTTCGGTTTCGGTTTGCAAAAATGAAAAACCGAACAAAACCAAACCACACCGAAATATAGGCCCAAACTAAAAAAAAAAACCTAGCTCAACATATTTTTACCCTTAGTATATATAGGAAAAAACCCTAATCCTCCCTCTCATTTCTCTGAGTTTCCCCTTTCTCTCCTCTTCTCTGCCCTCTCTACTTCTCCGCCCTCTCTCTCCTCTTCTCAATCTCACTCTCTCTCCTCTTCTCAGTCTCACTCTCTCTCCTTTCGTCTACATCTCCTCTTTCTTCCGCCCTTTCTCCACTTTCACTCCCATCTCCTCTTTTCCCCACCAGCAGCCCGCATCACCATCAACTAAGGTTCGTTTCGAGGTTTTTCGAACTCCATAAGGGCATAAACTATGGTTTTTCATTTCGTACAACATCAATTAAAGGGTTTCCAAGTCAAATTCGACCATGAAAACTCTACATCTAGAGTTTTCATGGTCGAATTTGACCTTTAAAACCCAAAATCGACGTTTTTTGGTGAAATGTGAGGACGTGAGGTAGTTCTCTTTTTATTTCGTTTAATTTAATTTGGTTTAAGTTTTGTTTTTCTACATTATTTTTATGGTGGTTTGTGATTGAATTGTTATTTGTGGTGGGTGCGTAATTGCGGATCTAAGTTAGGGGTGTGGTTTTGTTTGGTTCGGTTTTGATTGGTGTGGTTTGGTTCGGTTTTTTTTGCTACATTTGATGTTTATTTTCCTTGATAGGAAAATTCGGTGCGGTTTGGTTTTTTTTTAAGAAAACCGAAATTTAGGTGGTTTGGTTTGGTTCGGTTTCAAAATTAAAGTGGTGCGGTGTGGTTTCCAAAATCTAGAAACCGAAATATGGTGGTTCGGTTTCGGTTTGGGCAAAAAACCAAACCGAAAACCGAACTTTCACCCCTAGTTCAACCTACCCAATTGATCTCCCGGAGGGTATTAGGGACCATGGTAAACATTTCGTCAATTTTTATTTCAGGGCGATAAAAAGTCAAAAAATTCCAAAATTGAAGGTTAATATATACACTATTTGTGAAACTTTGGAGGTTTCAGGTTCTAGTGTGGAAAATACTTTAATTACTATGGGATACATCTCGGGGTCATATAATGCCGTTTGGAACCATATATGATCATTATTTGTTGTAATAAATGTTCGTGGTAGGCTTGAATTAATGAACTCGGTGCAAATTGTAAACCGGTAAATTGGCCATTTAAAAGCAAATTGAATGGTTCAACCCACCCAATTGGACTCCAGGAGGGTATTAGGGGCCATGGTAAACATTTTGACAATTTTTATTTTCGGGCGAAAAAAAGTCAAAATATTCCAAAATTGAAGGCTAATATCCACGCTTTTTGAGAAATTTTGGAGGTTTCGGGGCTCAGTTTCGAAAAGTCTTGAAATTCTATGGGATACATCTCAGGGTTATATAATGCCGTATGAAACCATATTTGATTATTATTTGTTGTCATAAATGTTCGTGGTAGGTTTGAATTAATGAAATCGGTGCAAGTTGTAAATCGGTAAATTGGTTGTTTAAAGGCAAATTGGATTGTTCAACCCACCCAATTGGACTCTCGGAGGGTATTAGGGTCCATGGTAAACATTTCGACAATTTTTATTTCCGGGCGAAAAAAGTCAAAAAATTCCAAAATTGAAGGTTAATGTCCACGCTTTTTGAGAAATTTTGGAGGTTTCGGGGCCCGGTGTCAAAAAGTCTTTAATTTCTATGGGATACATCTTGGGGTCATATAATGCCGTTTGGAATCATATATGATCATTATTTTTTGAAATTAATGTTCGTGGTAGGCTTGAATTAATGAAATCGGTGCAAGTTGTAAACCTGTAAATTGGCCATTTAAAAGCAAATTGAATGGTTCCACACACCCAATTGGACTCCCTGAGGGTATTACGGACCATGGTAAACATTTCGGCAATTCTTATTTCCGGGCGAAAAAAAGTCAAATTATTCCAAAATTGAAGGCAATATCTATGTTTTTTGAGAAATTTTGGAGGTTTCGGAGCCCAGTGTCGAAAAGTCTTGAAATTCTATGGGGTACATCTCGGGGTCATATAATGTTGTATGAAACCATATGTGATCATTATTTGTTGTCATAAATGTTCGTAGTAAGCTTGAGTTAATTAAATCGGTGCAAATTGTAAACCGGTAAATTTGTCGTTTAAAGGCAAATTGAATGGTTCCACCCACCCAATTGGACTCTCGGAGGGTATAAGGGAATAGGGATCATGGTAAACATTTCGGTAATTTTTATTTACGGGTGAAAAAAGTCAAAAAAATTCCAAAATTGAAGGTTTATATCCATGCTTATTGAGTAATTTTGGAGGTTTCGAGTAGGTCTATCAATTCGGGTAAACGGGTCGTGTTTGGATCGGTAAGAGTGGGTCGGGTCAACTCGGATCGGATCAATTCAAATTAATTCCATAAACTATGTGGGTCGGGTTTGGGTTGGGTCATGCTTGAGTCGGGTCATGTCGGGTCATACTTCTTATCGGGTTTGGGTCGGGTTTAGGTCGGGTTACATTCGGGCCGGGTTAGCAATATGTCGGGTTTAATTCGGGTTTTCACGGGTTAGATTAATTCTTGGGTTCGAGTCGGGTTCGGTTCAAGTTAATAATTTGTGGGTTAAAATCAGTTCGGGTCATTCTCGGGTTTGAGCCGGGTTCGGTTCAAGTCAATAATTTGCGGATTATAATCAGGTTGGGTCATTTTCAAGTCAGGTCATTCTCGGGTTCAATTTAAGTCAAATAATTTGCGGGTTATAATCAGGTTGGGTCATTTCCAAGTCAGGTCTTTCCCGGAGTCAAGTCAGGTTATGTTCAAGTCAATAATTTTCAAGTTACAATCATGTCAGGTCATTTCCAAGTCAGGTCATATTCGGGTTCAACTAACTATAAATAGATAATTATCATTTTAATCAAGCTAATTATTTCCTTTGACTATAATATATATGGTAATATATTTGGAAACTATAGTTTATAATTTAGGAAGATAATTATCTCCTTTGACCATACAACTTATACTATATAATTAACTCTTAAATTTGAGGATGATGCTCCTTTCTTTTGCTGGCCTGGACTGACTTTGTCTCCCAAGACAAAATGCTTTGATCAACAATAATAAGGTGGTCTAAATTGCATTTAAGGTGATTTGAAATCGGGTCAGGAACAATTTGGGTTGAATTTAGGTCGTGTCAATAAAAAAAGTCGTGTTGATTTCGAGTCAGGTTAGTAATAGACTAGGTTGAAAATTTGGGTCGGGTTAGTAATAGATCTGGTAAAATTCGGGTCGAGTCAATAACAAGTCGGGTTGAATTAGAGTCAGGTCAGTAACAAGTCGGGTTGATTTTGGGTCGGGTTTGTAACAGGTTGGGTTAAATTCAGGTCGGGTTAGGAACTGGTCGAGTTAGATTCAGGTCAGGTTAATAACAAGTCGGGTTAAATTCGGATATTGACGAGTTAAAACGGGTTTGGGTCAATTTCGGTTCAAATCGGGTTCAATTCGGATCAGTAATTTATGGGTTACATTTAGGTCGGGTCATCTCCAGGTCAGTTCATGTTCGGGTTCGGGTCTCACATACTCGGGTCAACTCGGGTCTAGGGTTGGTTTCAGGTCAGGTTTGAATCACCATTTTTTCGGGTTCAAATGGGTCGGTTAATAATCAGATTTGAGTCAGTATTTCGGGCCAGGTCAACTTTTAACAGCTCTATGTGTAACCGAACTTATTAACTGTCATTCGCTTTCGTAACCCCATGATCAAATCCAAACTGCTAACTTCTACTAAATTTAAACAAAAACTAACCATCCCATGACAAAAGCTCACTATTAAACTATACCACCAGCATCACATTGCTGTTACTGACTCACTGCTTATGTGATCAAAACCACTTCCCCAAAGTTGACAGTGGATAGAAAAGAAATCAAGAAGAGTAGAGCAATAACTGCCCAGGAGGAGCCGAGGGGAGTGCAGCGAGACTTTTTTCCAGTAATATTTTATGTTCTTCCTTCTGGGTACCGATTCTTCTCTGCAAATGCAAATGAAGCCCTTTTTAGAGTCCGGCGGTTGAGCAAGGAATGTATGTTTTTGACATAGGACAAGGTCAGTCCAAGAAAGCAGCTTGGACTTCCTCTTCAACCTGCATAAACTATGGAGTAAAGTCCCATTTTATTGATGCAGTCTATGTTCCAATGTAACACTCTGATCCAGAGTTTCTGCAACATTGTCATCAACACTGCAAGTCTGCAATAACTCCCATGCAGAAGTTCAGGTCACCAGATGGTCATCAAGGAGGACGAACCAGAGTATCAGGTAAACTATGAAATGCACACGGCGTTCCATAAGGAATCATGAAAACTACAAATACACGAAGTATCAAATTTGAAATTTACAGGCAATATTGCAAAGATGCTAGTTTAGGTCCCTATGATTAATTTTTACAGACAAAGTAACAATGAATCGTCAAAACAAGCCTTGCCACAGCCACCAGATTGATCTAAGTCAGGTTCTAACTATGGTAACGCATGTAAGGGAGTATATGTTTCCCACAACCAAGCTTGCCCAATGTTCTATCCTTGTTTGGTAATAGTTGAATTTTTCCGGAATGTTGTTAGCAGCTAATCAAGATTCAAGAGAAAGGACAAGGGAAACTGCTTCATTTGTCAGACTTTGGAATGTGACTTACACTGTTGGAAGAACTCTCTTGAGGTCCTTGATTGGAGGAAAATCTACTTGGAGAGCCTCCATCCGTGGCACTTTTTTTCTTCTTTTGTGAATGCTTGCCCTTCCTATCTTCAGATTCCTGCATAAACGTGAAAATCCTAGTCATGCATTTTTCCATATAGCTTAAACAGTGAAGCAAACTACACTGGTCAAACTAACCTAACGCTGCCCGCAACCGGGCGTCTTCAGTTCCAGCTCTGTCGCTACATCACTGGAATCATCAGTTCTTTCAAGGTGTCTGGCTTTTCCACTGTCTGAACCTTTAATTGGTTTGCTCAATACATGAGAAGTGGATGCAGGCTGAATGGGTTGTTGCTCAACATGTGGGTTTGGAGGCGTTGGGTATGGCATAAAAGCTGGGTGGGGGCTAGGAATTGTACTAGCATTTTGGCTTCCAAAGAAAGGGTAAGGCTGAAGAGATGGGTGCATTGGAATTGAACCTGGGGGCACTGCCATAGGTAGCGAATATGAGTAAGGTGGCCCCATAACAACGGAAGATTCAACAGCACCCCAAGGGTAAACTACCCTGAGTCTCTGCTGATACTGAGCATTGAGGTTCTCAATGTCTGATTTCAGGGATGCCTTCTCTTCTCTAAGCTCATTTTTCTCCTGGGTCAACTGTTGCAATCAACTCATGAGAAACGCACTAGGATGATCTCAAAGGCTTTTAAGTACAAAGAATAGCGCAAATATCACCTCATGTGATTCCTCTGAGAGGGTAGCACATTCAGCTTTTAGTTTGTTGACCTCAGCAGTCAAATCTCTTAATATTTGGATGGCATCTGTCAAGATAGTCGCTTTATCATTCTTAGGCCGCTCTGGATCTGGATAAGGGTGAAAATCTATGTCAGCAAAAATTACAGCTAATAATCTTTGTCAACCAACTACCAATTATAGGAATAAATAGTTGGGGTTAGTTGTTCTACTAGAAAAATTGGCAGTGTGAAGGTAGTTCTTTAAAATGTGTGTTCAGGAATCAGGACAACTAGCTTTTGGTTTAGATTTTTGGGGGCTGGGATGGTAGTGAAGTGTGATGTAGCAAGAAATGGAAATAGCCTCAACTTCAAACATCTACTTGAAACCGGTACTTTAATTGAACACTACATTTCATCTTTTACATGGTTTTTACTCGCTAACTGCTACTAGAAAAACTGTCATTGCCTTTATAACTATCACTCATCTAGCTCCAAACTACCCACTAATCTATATTATTTTTGAAATAATTAATCCATTAATAAAAAGCTATATGGCATTACAAATGAAATCTAAATTTAACAAATACATAAATTTATTAAATCAGACAAAAGAATTCTTCATTGAAGCTACAATCGTTGATTAGATCTTACACTTTTGTACATCCTTTACACACATCGCTGGAATATATAGACTTTTTACAGAGACAATCAAACGATTTATTGTAGCCAAGAGGATGATTTCATTTGATTCATCATTTGAACGTATCTGAAAATTTGACAACCTTTGCGATTCCGTGCGAATCTTTACCAACAAATCGATTGTAGGGTTGAAGATAATAGATTTTTTTATAACCCTACCGTACAATAATCCCTAAGGGGGGGCAAACAACTACACCAACTACCAAGTACCAACAACTACACCATAGGGAGACTAGTAAATCTACACTACTTGTGTAAATTTACTGAAATTAACAACGAAAACTAGAGAAAAACAAAGAAAAAAGGGTAAGATAAAATAATCTACTTTCACGGCCAAAAATACTACCTCCGTTTTATGTTTTTTGCAACGATTTGACGTTGACATCAAGTGTGAGTAGAAAATGTTTAATCGTTGTAAATAATATGAAACAGAGGTGTATATGATTTAAAAAGGGGAGCGAGTGTGAGTAGAAAATGTTTAATCGTTGCAAATAATATGAAACAAAGGTGTATATGATTTAAAAAGGGGAGCGAAACCAATTTTTTTTAATCACCACGGTGATGCATAACCACTAATTTATATCACTATATCATTTCAACTTCTACAACAATGATAGTTTTTATATTAAATCAAAATCCCCTTTTTTGAATATTCCTTCCTAAGAAATACGAAGTATGTTATTTACACATTGCAATTTGCTACTCAAAACACCTAATAAATATTTGGAAAATTTGTCTGAAAAAACCTATTATAACACTCTTTTTGTCGGAAAAAAACCTTTTAAAATTTTTTTGGCCAAAAGAAACCTATTTCTAAATTTTTTTTGTTGAAGACAACCAAAACCTCTAATTAACCTAATCAGCCCCTGATTACCCCTAATTAACTACTTAATCTTATTTAATTAATTAAAAATCATAAATAAATTGATAAATTACAAAAAAAACATACACCACCCCCAAATACACCACCCCCTGGTAGCAACCGCCCCCACCCCCGCCGGCCACCAGAACCCCCCACCCCTCTCCTTTCCCCCGTGCCGACAAAGTCCCTCCCCCCTACCCCTCCTATTCCTTTGAACCACCACCGCAACCACCCACCCATCACTAAACCCTAACCCCAAAAACTCCCACCTCCCTCTCTACCACCACCACAAAACGGCCACCACTCCATTTCCCACACCCTGAAACGACAAGGGGAGGTCGTTTATGGGTGTGGAAAAAGGAGGGGCTTGTTTATGGTTGTGGAAATGAGGGGTGGAATTTTCAGGTTTGGGTTTAGTAAGGGGTGGGTGGTCGCGGCGGGTGAAAGGGAGGGGCGGGTTAGGTCTCTGGTCGTCGCGGTGGGTGAAAGGGAGAGGGATGGGTCTCCTTTCCGTGTAGTGGTGTAGTGGAGGGGGTTGAGCTGGGTAGGCCAGCCTTAGGAGAGGAGGCTTAGTCGATGTCGGAGTTGGGTGGTGGTTCAAGAAAAGAAGAGGGTAACGCAGGGAGGCGTAGGGCGGGGGTTTTCCGGTGCGGGGGGTAGGGATTCTGTTCGCCGGCAGGGGTGAAGGTGGGGGTGGCTGCTACCAGGGGAGGTGGAAGGGGGAGGGTGGCAGGTGGTGATGGGGTTGGGGGTGGTTTAAGTTTTTTTTTTTAATTTATCAATTTATTTGTTATTTCTAAATAATTAAATAAGATTAAGTAGTTAATTAGGGGTAATTAGGGGCTAATTAGTTTAATTAGAGGTTTTGGGTGTCTTGAACAAAAAAATTTTTGAAACAAGTTTCATTTGGCCAAAAAAATTATAATAGGTTTTTTCTGACAAATTACTACCATATTAACATGTGGTCCATTATTTGAAACGGGAGTAGTTTTTGAAGTCCTTTCTCACAAAACAAGTGTTATATAAGCTATGGAACCAGATGTATCACAGATTTGATGCAAACAGTCAGGAACTAATAGCATTAAAAGTCACCAATCATGTCTCTGATTAAACTCCCATCAAAAAAATTTCAATAACCTTCTTTATGTTCATACTCTCACTCAGACAGTCATGCACTTTAACTACATTAAGTCTTGTTTGGATTAAAAAATGAGATAAATAAATCCCCATGAAAGAATAAAAAATTGCAATGGCATTTATGTTTTAGAATGCAGGTTGCAATGTATAGCAGACGAAAACACTGGATTTGATGTTTGACAAACTAATCATTCACTTAAAGTTGTCCTTTGTTGATGACAATCCCTTACCTCTGGACCAGTAAAACTAGCGGAGAGCAACTTATGAAAGACCTACATTGGAAAAGTCTAGGTAAGAGAGGAAGGTCAAATGACTACAAAACAGCTAAAATCCAGAAGAGCAAGGTCAGAAATATTCCTCTAAGTTGTGTATCAGATAAGCAAATTTCTCAAGCAGACCTTTTTGGGGATATATGTAGCATACCTGCGTACGTTCTGTATGAAATATTAGCCTAAGAGGTTCCTAGGATTCCTTGTTTATCCGTCTAGCAATTGGGATCATAAGGCCTTATAAAGGTCTGAGTGCTTCTAATTGTCAAGAAATTCAAGCAATGGAGCAGTCAGGAAGATTGGTTGATTTCTAACAGTAGCAGTGTCTCTAAAGGTTTGTGTGCTTTCATAGTTTGGAGAGCCACTCATTGTCTCATCTTAACCCAAGCCCAACTCCCATGCTATGAAAGGTGGCTAATTGTAAATAGTAGTAGTGCTAGTGTGGTGTCATGGCATTGAGAGTCGTCATATTTTATTTTTTAAAAGCAATGATATGCATAGTGTATACTACCCCTCTGGAGCCTCGAGCACTTCTTACTCCCAACAGTATCATAGTATAACATTAACTTATCAATTGCGTTTTTCCAATAACACCAATACCACAAAGATGATAATATGAAGGCAACAAATCAGCAAGGGAGAAGTATGTACAAAAGAAAATACTGTATAGATTACCTAAAGCACTACCAAGCTCTTGAAATTGATCATTTAATCGATCCCTCCTCAACTTTTCCCGGTCTGCCTTCTGAACCTTTCGTACAGCAACAGGATCCTTTACTTCTGCCTCAGGCCTTTGTCTATGAAACAAAAGATTAAAACAAAAAAATACAAATCAATCCTTTCCTCTGCTAATCAAAGGCTCACCTTGGTTGATTAATTTCATGGGAATTCTTTCCTCCATTCAATATAGGGCTATCAATTTCCTCTCATTTTCCACCCACAACTACTTCTCATTAATGTGGCTACATAATTAACCTAAAGAATGATAAAATTTGTTCAATTATAAAAGTATAAATTAACTAGTACACTTTGACAAAGCAAAAATTCAACAATATATATATGATCATGTCACATTACTTCACTTAAATATCTACTTCATTTACTTGTTCTACAAATTGCAACTTTCTCCAGAATTTCCCATAGTTCTTCCAATTTACTGAACCACAATTTCTATATAGTTCATCAATTTAATTACTTAACAACTAATTTAAAATTTCCCTATTTTCAAATTCTTCAAAATCAAGAAAACAATAAGAAAAACACAAATAAACTGAAACCAATTCTAAAATTTGCAGATAAATACCCAGAAAATAATAATACTAAGAGAGATAGAGTAAAAAACCTGGAATCAAACTGGGAACTTTGGGATGGATTAAGAGGTTGACAAACTTTATCAGTTTGCCACTGATCCATACTTTAGTAGTAGTATTAATTTCCCAATTAATTCTACTTCAAAGTAAACTAAATTAAACTAGGTTTTTTTTTTTGGAAGTGGGAAAAATTTTTGATTTTTGATTACACTTTTTGTACAGAAAATTATACAAAATGAGTAACAAATTACAAAAAAATTGTGTTTGTTTGTTGTTGTCTCCTCCTTCACTTGCAAGATCACATGGAAGATGAACCGAACCCAGAAAATTATGAAACATAAAATAAAAATGTAATTGTGGCGTGCACACGCCTTTTTTTTTTTTTTTTGGGGGGGGGGGATATGTACAGTGTACTGAGGTGAGAATTTAAGTAATTTTACAAATCATAATCATAGTTGACTTTATTATTGGATGTAAATAAAATTATTGAATATAAATAATATAAAAAGTAATATACTTTAGGTTTAGGCATTACCATAGAATTATAGATTTCCATAAATAAACCTTTGTAGTTGACCATTTTGTCTATATGCATATGTTTAGGGTAACCACCCTAATTAACAGGAATTAGACAAAGTGTAATTGGATCTTGGATATAGAGAGCAATCATTATTTGTAAAATCATGGATCATATATCAATGATTATTGGTGTATAATGATTGTTAATGAATACCATTCATTATTCATTTATATATTTCACGCAATACAATGTTAAAAATACTTATTATTCGTAGATTGTTGTGAGAAATCACCATAAAAAAAATAAATTAAAAAAAAAAAACTAAACTAAACTCCCTAATTATGAAACACGGCTGTATACTCAAAATAGATAATTAGATATACAAATTTCCCATCTAATTATTAAAGATGACAATAAGCTTCTCAAAGCAAATAGAATTAGGGCTACACTCAACCAAACAATGCGTAGTAAAAGTTCTTTCTGTGAGAGAAAGTTACAAGAGAAAAAACTGAAGGCATTGAAAATTATTGTAGTTGAGCAACTCTTCTAATTTCTAATTCATAAGCAATGCATTAAATTTTTAAACATCCAAATTACAGTCATAAAAAAACTTGCAATGTATTGCTCTCTTTCGTATAATTGAAGACGGTACATAGTAATTTGTACACAATGACCCTTTTCACAGAGATCCACTCTCAAAATACAATATTAACATGTAATTAACGTAAAAGATCAATATATAACTGGAGAGCAAAATCCAAATCAACAATCCTTCGTTTATATTGAGAAACTAATTTGTAAAAGAAACAAAATAAAATTTGATTAAGGTACAATGAATAGGATCTATGAATAATTAGCAATACATCAGAAGTTATGTCCAGTATCAACTTTAATTACTTTCATCCATTTGAAAGAGAAATCTACGCACCTCCCCCTAGATACCTGAACAAAATTGGCAAACAAAAGCATATCAAATAACCATTAGTGTTTGTAAATAAAATGTTGACAATTATATCATTGTAACCCAGCAAGATGTTAGATTTTTCGATACACTGTCATAAAGATAAAGTTCAGGCAGGAAAACAAGGAGAGAAATATTAGGCAAATAACTGCACAGTAAGCTTGACATCAAGCCTGGGAGCAAATGGGAATGGGAATGGGAATGGGAAGGTTAATAAGTTTAAAGTAGCAAAAACGGAACTATTCACGTGAAACAACAGTATGGCTGTGCATTCGACTCAGCTCCACCCTCCAACTCTCCCTTCCCCAAGTCCATGTCCTACTGCTATGAGAGACTACATGTCACTTTTGAACAGGGAGTTGGAACTCTGGCAAATAATAAATATTTTTGAGTTTTACTTGATGAACGGGGAGTTGGAACTCTTTGGCAAATAATAAATATTGTCAGTGACCTACAGACCATGAATCTGTCACTAAACAGAACAAAGCCTAATTAAACTTTATCGAAGAAAATTAAGAGAAAGGGACAGATGATTGGCAGGCTTACAGATGGCCAGAGAAAGCAGATACATTTTAAAGCCTATCAATTAGTATATACTTAGAACTAGCTTAGCATATGTAAGAATTAAGACGATTTCAAAGAATCAGCAATAGAGTCAGAACTCTCCGTCAAAAAAAAGAAATAAGACGATTCCAAAGAATCAGCAATAGAGTCAGAACTCATAAGATGTCTTATTTTCGTTTGACTTACTCTATGTTCATTGGACTACCATAAATTATATTAAAGGTTTACGGATATATATCAAGTTATCCATTAGACCTATTTCAGCTTCCTCCTAGAATTTATGTTGGATAGATAAAAGATCAAGATTATAATATTAACAAGTGGGGAAAAAAAATTAGCCCACATCAAGCAATACTTGTTGATGCAAGATATTTTATGGTGTGCAGATGCAGTATATAAAAGTCACCAAGTCAGACATCAATCTTAGTGCCAAAAAACTAACTTTCTTCCAGAGCTACATCCAAGCTAAGGACTCTTTCCAGAAACTGGAACTAGAATCATAAGCACTAAAGCACCAACAATGACACTCATAATCAGATCCAACAAAAGCAGCATAGCGCTTTTTCAAACAACTTTATATGAGCTTGGGGAGAGAAAACTATTGTCCATGCAATGGCTCCAGAAAGACAGGCGTATAAATTATGGGCGTTATATGACTTTCACAGCATAAAAGAGGGCCAAATTGGCGACCACCAGTAAAATAGAAGAAAAGGAAGGCCAAATTCTATTCTGATGTTACCACTTAACATTACAATAGCATAACATTCAGTGTATTCAATTATTTCAAAAAAAAATTGGAATAATAATATAATAAAAAAGTACAAACCAAACAAGACCCTTATTAAATAGATGCATATCCTGTCATTGTTGATTGAGAATGAGCATAAGCCAAAAAAAATTAAAGAAATACAAATGGATACATCAACTTTTCGTGTGGTATATTAAAAGAAATTGCACAGAGAAACTCAAAATCACATCCTTTGACAAAATTAACAATACTAAACACGTCTTTTCTCCGATTTAGTCAATATTTGATAGTGACAATTTTCCAACTCTCAAAGACTATATAATGTCTAATAGTCAAAATGATGTCTTAATATCCATAGTTTACTTTCCATCATCTGCTATATACATGCTAACCAAGGCCTAAGCAAACAATGAACCAAAAGATAAGTACACAACTACAAATACACTACGAAAAATCAACCAAGTTCGGAGAATTATACCAAGCAATTCATCACTAAACCATATACAGCTAATCCAAGCACTTCATCACTAAACCATAAAAGACTAACTGATAGAGTGATAGATGTATCAACAATGTGATGATTTAAGTTACCTGTTCCAGAATTCAGATACTTGTCGTAGCCCATTGTAGAAAATAAACCACATTAAGACAATGATTAGTGTATCTGTTCAGGATAAGGAGCTCAATAATAAACTGAAATGTACAAAGTGGTTAGTATGAATTATGAAACTAAGAATGAAATCAACAGATGCAAAACTTGCAAGCCTAACAAAATCCTAGCCCCGCACGAAGAATGGCAAACTTGACATTGTTTATGAATTTTGTAAAAGCAAGTAATATCTCCCAGATCCCCCTCAATTAACAGTAGAGATTGCAAAACCATCTTTGCATCTCTTAAAATCATATCACTTAATATGAACATAGTCATCACTAACTCAACTACAGTCATCTGACTCATCTCAAATCTATTATCAGCATCATATACAGACACCAAAGAGACATTGAAATGACTGCAACAATATCACAATAAGACTCATTTTGGATAACAAGAACATCCAACCAATATCTAATAAAAAGATTCATAAACCTTGAACAGACTGATAGCATAAGCAACCGAAAAGGCCAAATAAGAATTAAGGATGTGAACCATCGGGCAAATTTTGTCACCTTGAATCCTTCATGAGAATGTGGAAATGCACAGAGTATGATAACAACAACAACAACAACAACAACAACAACAACAACAACAACAACAACAACAAAGCTTAGTCCCAAAATGATAACATGTTAACAAATTCATTTGTGAAAACTTTTCTATATAATGTCAAAATTCATAAAGATTGCAGTTTTTAGGCAGTTGCATTCCCATGAGTAATTGTGTAACAGGGATAGTTATTCATGCTTCGCAGTATATGTTAGGCTATTAGCTTGTAAATATGAAAACTGTCATTCCTTACTCTCAATACTTATTAACACTCACTTCCTCGTTTCCCTATCACCAGTTTCTAACTACATAACCCCTCAAGGCCAGAACATCTAATTCTCAGGCCCTCAAATTACAATAGGTTTATAATGAAACTTACATGCACAGATATGGCATATACCTAATAAATCATATACCATCGTAGAACTTCAAAGCCTTTCTGATTCAAAACATGAAGGTTTTTGGGGTAAATAATCGGAGTTGTCTTCCATGTTTAAAAAATTGTGAGCTCAACAAGTTCATTGAGGCTTCCTTTCCATCACTATAGGAGCATAAATCAACACTCAAAATTCCCAGGAATGAGTTGAATTTTTTCAAAGGCTGCCTAAACTTCTGTTCACAACCCCTATAATCTCTTGCTGCAACATCGGTATCACCCCTTTTCAAACATCAAAAGAATGGAACCAAATTGCTATCTGGAATATTTTTGTCAATTTTCTTATCATTGATTTTTTTTTTTCTTTGATCTCCACCAACAATGGTGGTTTCCCTCCATCAAAGACCAGTGCAAATGGCATACCCGAGTACCCCGACCTCATAACAAACCCATACCCTCTTTCTCTTCCAACAAATGAGCCCCATCCTCCTCTCGGTCTTCATCATCATGGGTTCTATGACATTTTATAAGATTCATCAATCTTGCACATACCTACAGGCTAGCAGTATAGACATAGTATATGAACATAAGCCAATTACCCCAGCGACACCTAAAAACAGCAATAATTCTGAATTTTAACATCACTTGAAAGGGTTTTGCTCAAATTATTATGCTCCACATGTTAATTCATACTCCTAACCTCCATAAAATTACACCCAATTGACCCAATATCATTTAAGAAGACAAAACTTTTCCATTGGTTCTTATCCAATAATCCACAAAGCAAACTTTGTCGGGTTCAATTGTACATCAGCATATATTTTGTATATAATATTTTAGCTGCTGATATTTAACACGCATAGTTTTTGAGGTTTCCATGAACTAAACAGATGTAGCAGTGGAAGCAGTACTCATCCTCAAATAATGCTATGCGCCTGTACTTTATCGTAGATTTATAGTAGTTTCTGAATTCAGACACCTAGTCTAGGGGTGGAAACACATCAAAGCAAAAATGATACTTCACAAATCCACTACAACAGTCCAAGGCGACATGTTAAATAGCATAAACATGTGGAGGCCGCAAATAATACAAAAGTAACGCTCCCACCAATCTAACATATCAAGGCAAATTGAAATGCATGACAAAGAAGAGAAAAAAAAAATATGCAAAGGATACTGAAAAGGTAACGCTCCCACCAATCTAACATATAGAGTCCAAAAGTAACATTGTATAAGTAGATCTTACGTTGCACCCAATTCATGATTTCTCAAGGACCTTCACCTGTGAAAACCTAGAGCAATGTCATATTCATGATTTTTCTATACATGAATTGAAAATTTGTATCATAAATAATCTACAACTAGTTATAATGATTCACTAAGCACAATCAATCACCTTTCACAAATACAGAGCAGCAAATAACGTTTATTTGTATGTCACTTGTAGTAAAACCAAAAAAGCCAGGAATCACTTACACTATGTTTGGATAGAGAGAAATGGAGGGAAAAGAGAAGAGAAAAGGAGAGATACATTATCCTTTGTTTGGATATCTAATGCAAGGAGGGAAGGGAAGGGAATTAAAAAGATCTGTTTTCCTTCCCCTTTTAATAAATCAAATCTCTCCATTGTTGGAGAGATTTGGAAGATAAATGGAATTTCACCTTCTCCCTTTCCCTTCACTCTTTTTCTTTCCCCTTCCTTTCTCTTCACTATTGTTATCCAAACATATTGTTAGTATTATTGTCATTGCAACTCTAATTGTCTAAAGCCAAGTTAACATACTATGCATATTAGAAAAGTACAGCTATTATTCTAATTTGTTACCCATCATATGCCTCTTGCATATTTCAACACTTTTTGGCTTTATTATATTGAGAAAGTAGTTAGGGTGAATAGCGACAAGAGAGACATCACCTGAACTACATTCAATTTTCCAATTCTTATCCATTTGATAATCCCTATTTTGGTGCAAAGGAAGACCACTACAATGAGTTCAATCTCTTTTATGTAACAAATCGTTTAGAAATATGAGCTATAAAATCAGTATATACCATGTCTTAATCCCTACATAATTTAATTCAAGGAAGGAAAAAAAGGTCCATTGGTTTTGTTTTTTTTTAATCCAATGATCCACAAATCATCCACACGTGGGAGACGACAAAATAAAAAGCTAAATCAATTAGAAAATAATGCTATCTAAGAAGATGTCATCACCCTAGTTCATGGTGACGAAATGTTGAAATGAAGTTTCAACTTGAGTGCGGGCAACAATTTTTCTACCTCTCCCAATCCCCGCATAGCTGAAAACATTGATCCCTCCCCAACCAAGATCAATGATGTAACTACGACCAAGTAATCAAATAATTTCAATTGCAACAATAAAATTGGCAACTTAGGGTGCAATTCATTCACCGATTTAATTTCAAACTTTTTTACTAGCTAAATCACCCATCTCATGCGGCAAACAATCACTGTCAATACCCATAATCATTCCATTTACCTTATACTCCATATGTGTTGTTAACAATGTTGCATCTAACTTTAGATTAGGATAATACATAACATAATGCACTTAGATATAGACAATATAGTATCATAACAACTACCCTACACATCAAACTCCATAAAATACATGTATTGCTAAAATCAAACAAGTTCTCAATCATAATCACATCCTACCAAATTTGAGGTTTTGCTTATCAACCTTAAAACAAACAAACGTAATTAATTCTGGGTCAAATTAGATGGGAAATTGAGATCTAAATTCACTCATAAAATCAGAAATAATAAAAGAGTAAGAAATTAAATTAAATTGAACAATAAAGGTCATCAATTTTGCAAATCATGGTATGAATTTTTCGGGGTGGAAAAAAAAAGGGAATTATTAAACGTAATCCTGAATAATTCATTAACAAAGTTTCAAAATTTATGAAGAACAATTTGGTACTTTGTATAATTTAGAGCACAAAATAAAAAATAAAATAAGAAAAAAGAAAGAGCGAAAATTGGTGGAATTACCCGGTGAAGATGATGAGAGGGGAGGAGTTGAGCGAATTCGAATTGAGTGGTTTGATGAATTGAAGTTACTGGGTCTACCAGCCCAACGTGGTAGAGGTTAGTTTTTCTTAATCAAATTTCAAGGGAATAAGCAAACCCATGTGCAACTTTTAGCTCGATTTTTTTTTTTTAAGGACATTTTTTACTCGACTTAATAAAGCCAACTTTGCTCTATGAAACAAATAACTGGTATGGCCTCAAAACGAACAAGGGATATGGGCGTATGGCCTCGAAGAAATACAATGGAGTATTACCCTCAAAAGTCAAAACGAACAAGGAGTATGGACGTATAGCCTCGAAATGGAGTATAAGGGCTAACGAGAAACTCTACCACGAAGGATAATCTATGGAACTATAAGGGTGAAATTCATCCACCAAAAAAAAAAAGGGGTGAAATTCAATCTTTGTTTGCTAACCAATTTGCATTTTTATTCTGTGTGCAACTAGTTTTTGTTGCGAAGACGAAGCACTGACATATAGCCAATTTCGAGCTCAATTTGGATCTTATGAACTAAATTAGAGGTGATAAATATTGGCCTAACTCGAAAATAGAGTGGGTTTGGGCAAGCCTAGAACCCGACCCAAAAAACTACGAAAAGCCCGCTACTTTTTGTGGGTTTGGGCACGACATATCTTGTAAGGCCCCTATAACCCGATTTATTAATCACCTCTAGACTAAAAATGGCTCCTGTAGTCTTCAAAAAAAATTGGCCCCTATTACCTTGATGAAACTTTTCTTGACCACGTAAATCGATGAAAAAAAATTAAATTGGGTGGCAATGTACTCCTTCGCTTTTTTATAGTTGCAACAGTTTGACTTTTACACTGTTCATGTGTTTCACTCTAACTAGCTTTGATGATTTAGACTTAAGCCAAAATATAGTCATGTGGTTACTTCTTTTTTTGAGGGCTCATGTTGTTACTTCTTAGATTCATCTCTATTGATACTATTTTTAACATTAAATGTATATAATATTTACATATTGTTAACTAAAGATATTAACCATTAAAATCATGCATCGCCAAACGTGAAAAGAAAAGTGTTGCAACTATTAAAAAAAACAAAGGAAGTACAATGTATTACTCCTACATTTAGGCTGCAATTTGCAATTTTTTTTTAATAATTGTAATTTGTAAAATACAAACTTTAAATAGTTGCAATTGACAAATTTTCTACTTGTAATTACCGATAAAAATCATTCAAGTCTAGTAGACGTTCAAAGTGGACACAACACAAGCCACTATACTAGTATACTTTAAGTGTTTAACTTGTAGTCCGTACTTAGTTTCAAACACCATCCCATAACTCCATAAGGCCATAAGTTGATGTTCATGGGTCATTGAGAAGGGTTGGCTTCCTCTCTGTCGTTTCATACTTCATATCTAGGGCTAAAAAATCCCATGTCCCAGAATACCAAAACCATGATCAATTATATTTCCACTGTTTCTTTTCAGGCGATGATCTGCAACATTACAAGAATGCACACTTACTGTTCGATGAAATGACTCAATGAAAAAACCCACCTGAGAAAGTTGTTTGAGATGTTAACAACAACAATAAAAAAACACTTTTTGTTGATTTGAATTGCCAAAAATGTTGAAGATTGTAACTTACAACGTTAATGGCATCCGACAAAGGATAACCCAGTTTGGTTCTCTCCTTAAATTACTCGATTCTCTCGATGCTGATATCATCTGCTTTCAGGTTTTTCTTTCTTATACTCTATTTTCTGGGGAATTAAAGTATAACTAATTGAATTTATTATTTGGTTTGATTGATTTAAAGTTTCGAAATTTAGGAGATTAAAGCAACAAAGCAAGAGCTTACTGCAGATTTGATTATGGCTCAAGGGTATGAATCCTTCTTTTCTTGTACTCGTACCTGTGGAAAAGGTCGCACTGGTTATTCAGGTATCATTTCTTTGCCCAATTTCCCTCCATTTTTCTTGGCGGGGTTTTTATATTAGCTCGATATAACTAGTTAATACCCGAGTCATGCTCGATTATTTTAGTTAACCGATATTTGAAACAAAAAAAAGTTGGCATTAATGGTAATTTCCAATGCAAGCATTTATAAATAAGTACCCGATAAGATCCATTTTGATATGCTTTTCTTACTAGAGAATTTAGTAGGGAAAAGTGAATTTCGCTTTTGTATGGTGTATAGGTGTTCATTTTTCCTTAAAGTGGAATATGGAACTGAGTATGCTAATGCTCACCTATATGAATGATTCCTTCTGAGTTGCTTATAAATTTTAAGCATGTTTCTTTATATCAAGTGAAGTGAGTAGCATATCTATCATTCTACCTTTGAAATGTGCTAACATGAGATAGCATTTGTAGGTGTTGCAACGTTTTGCCGTGTAAAATCAGCCTTTTCTAGTACGGAAGTGGCATTACCTGTGGCTGCAGAAGAAGGCTTTACTGGTCTTTTAGATACTTGTGGAAATGAATCTAGTGGCGAGCTGTTTTCTGACTTGGAATGCCTTAAGGAGTTTCGAAAAGATGATCTTTTGAAGATCGACAGTGAGGGTCGCTGTGTCATCACAGATCACGGTCATTTTGGTACCTAGACAAGGCTGTCATACTATTGATCATTTCATATATTAGCATACAAGCTGTGTTGTAGTGATTTAAAATTTGAAACTATGCAATTCATCCTAGGGTTTCACTTCATTTTCCATGATCCTGCACACTGATTTTATATTATGTTTCAAGTTCTTTTCTGATTATTTTGATCTTATTGAAAGTTTTTCAACAATATTTGTAAAGTTGCTTTGTTGGAATTGCAGTTCTATTTAATGTATATGGACCTAGAGCAGCTCCTGAAGATGAGGAGAGGATTCAATTTAAAGCCAACTTCTTCAAGATTATGCAGGTATATGTGTTCTGATATCTGATATATATACTTCCCATTGCTCTCTTGTGTTGCCAAGAACTTTGGACTTTGGAGTACAGTTTTTATGCATATATGTTTTAGTCAATTACATGCATCAATTTTTTCGCTGTTTAATACTCTGTCCATAAAGTTGGCTACACTTTGAAAATTTAAAGAAATGAAGGATTGTGCATTTATCTCTTGTGTTTTACAATAACTAGTGACAGAAACAATATCTGTGCCTGATAACAGTGTAAGGTAAACCATAATATAGGGCAACTAAAAAAAATAAAATTACAAGTTTTATGGGATGAAATGAGTTGTAACTAGAGTTTCAGTGTGTATTCTTACTTGATGTGAATGATGTCTTGTTGAGTTGCTAATATATTCCTCTCAAGGACCCATGCTATTCCAATGCTTAAGATATATCTGGAAGTTGGACATAGGATCCTCTGATATAACAAACTGACTACTTTACAGGCAGTTTTATATTGTTACAGAAATGATAAGGAAAATTTAGTAACTTTCAAGAGTAGGATCAAAGATTCTCTTTTCTTAAGATAAATTACAATTTTCATTTAGCATTATAGACAGGCTATCTGACTGTCTGTCTGTTTGTCTCTTTGTGTTTGTGTTTATTGGACTTTTGAAATATGAAGTTTTTTGTAGAAAAGATGGGAATTGCTTCAACAAGAAAAGAGGCGGATAATTGTAGTAGGGGATTTGAACATTGCTCCTTCTGCTGTAGATCGCTGTGAACCTGGGCCAGACTTTGAGAAAAATGAGTAACTATCAATCTTCTGATTTTTCAACTTATGTGGTTGGCTTTTGAAGCATTCACCAATCTCCTTTTCTTTTCTCCTTCTGTTTCTCTTGTTAGGAGAACAAAATTAGACTGTCAGCTTTTCTAAGATAATGTTTATGCCTTTTTTATAGGTTCCGTAGATGGTTTAGGTCTTTGTTGGTGAAAAATGGAGGTCCCTTTCTTGACCTTTTTAGAGAAAAACATCCAGAAAGGTTTATAACCTCTTTACATTATGTTTTATTCTTTGCTATACAAATCATAAGTCTATGGAGCTTACATATTTTTGCAATGATCTAATTTTTTAATCATCTTCTTCTCACGCAGGGCTGATGCATATACATGCTGGCCGGTACATACAGGTGCTGAAGAGTTTAATTTTGGGAGCAGGATTGATCACATCCTTGCTTCTGGTGTATGCTTACACCACATGCAGGGCAATGATGATCATAACCTTGCTGTTTGTCATGTTGAAGAGTGTGATATAATGACACAATTTAGAAGGTGGAAGCCTGGAATCTCATTGAGGTATATGATTGATGATCTAATTCTTGGCAGAAAGTGGGGCATGCTACATGATCTTGAATGTCAAATTGATATTGCTAGAATTTGGTATATGTATGTTAATTGGAGGCAGGATTTGTTATGAGCAAGAAAAGGGAATGAGAGTCTTTTCTAACAATTGCCACCAAATAAAACTATTTTATTACTATAATTGATACTTTTTATTGATTTTCTTTTGATCCTTCTATTTCATTGAAATTGTGTATAAAAAAATCTTTATATTCTGTTTATATTGAGAAAAATATAGACATAAAGCATGGTTTGAGGTACTCTGGATGAAAATAATATATGTCCTCCTGAGTCTTGATATCAACTCTTTGTATAACAAATAGTTATAGTTTACTGTAGATCTGATATAATGTTTACTAAATTGTTACTCCCTTTGTCCCAGTTTATAGTTCTTGTTTGTGTTTTCTCATGATATTTAAGAAATGGGAGGAGAAAGTGGATGAAGTACATGAAAAAAAAAAAGTGAAAAGTACATTTAAAGACAAAAGTTAGAGAGAGAAAATGGAAAAAAGTACAAGACAAGTGGAAAATTCAAGATAGTTTAGGAAGTACGATGAATAAAGTTAAAGAATGAGGTATAATGGTCTTTGCATACTATCCAAAAATAGAAACAAGAACAACATTTTGGGTCTCCAATATAGAAAAACAGGAACTATAACGTGGGACAGAGGGAGTAATTGTTTTGAGATAGCATATTCTTGGCTAGTACGTCATAGATTAGCTTATTAAATTTGGGATCATCATTCCCTGCAATCTCACTATTATGTTCTGCCCTGTTCTATAGCTGGAAAGGAGGTAGAGCTACTAAACTGGAAGGTTCTGATCATGTTCCTGTGTTTGTTACACTTAAGGATATTCCTGATATTCAAATCCACAGTACACCACCTCTATCCGCCAGATATATGCCAGAGATTCGTGGGTCACAACAAACTATTGGTATGTGACTTTTTCCTCTTGTCATTTGATGATGCTGTGAGCATATTTTTCAGTCAACCATGGTGTTCATATACCGATGTTTGCACATCTTATC